GCGTGCCGTCTTTAACGACGCGCGTGATGTCATCGAGAAGGCGGAACTAGCGACTGACTTCCGAAAACAAGAGTGTAAACGTTGAAGCGCTTCCGCTATAGTTCGCCAGCATTTTACTTTCTTTGATTTGTCGTGGTAGTCCCTCGATGACACATCATACAAGCAGGAGTACTGTTGCCACAGCTCCACGAACCTTTCCTCCATCTCATCATTCCACCTAGCAGCACCATCATCTCTCTTTCAGTTCGCCATGTTTGAAAACTGTGTATGAAATAGCTTCTGTGCTGCTACTGGTCAGCGTCACCTATTAAAAAATTAAACCTGCTAGTCTTTCTGTCGTGATGTCGTGAAGCATAGCAGACGCGGAATCGGTTGTCGTTCACTATGGCACACTACACGAGCTGAAATGATGGAATATTGCGTCCCGACGCCCATTGCCGTTTAGAAATCCCCACGACACCCTACGTCAAGCAAATCCTGGCAAAATCGGGCTAAAATCGTGTAGTCTGAAACGGGCTTAATGTAAACGCAATCCAGCCATCTTGTCTGCATTTGCAGGTCGACATCACGCAAAACGGCGCCCCCTCTCTCCCGATCTGTCGGAAGAACAGAGCGCTATTGAGACTCGTACATTTATTTTGATTTGTAAAATGCCCCGCGACTGAAAATAGTTTTCAAAAGAAAACCCACCACTTCAGGTTAACTTTGCAGCGCAGACTTATTTAAATATTGCGCGGGAAATACTGATCCGATCGGTTATCCAGATCGAGAAGTCAGCTGATGTTGCCAAGTGTAAACGCGCTGTGTCCTGATTGACTGATGATCCGATCTGCTTGATCAGATCACGGTGATCGCATGTTAATGCTAAGTGTAAACGTAGAGAGACATGCAAAATGTGCAGAGCGTTGGGTCACAAGGACTGGAATTGAAAACCTCTGTCTTAATGTACAAAAGTGTTGACCCCTCAATGAAAGTCTATGGGACTTTTCGTAGTTTTGGTTTAATGAAAATCGTAAGACTGATCAGTTAGAAAAGATATAGCAACCCGAGTCAGACTAGTCTGAAGGTCTCCTGAGTTTGGTTTTAGCTTGAAAGCTGTATGAGGTGACATTTTAAAATTTAGTCTCAGAAGAAGCTCAAATAGTAGATCAGTAAGTTGACTTTCTCAAGTCAACTTAATGAACAGAATGAAGGATGGAAAGAAGGAAAATAAATGTAGGAAGGATGGATGGGGAACAAGGAAGGAAATAAAAGTAGAAAGAGAAAATGAAGGAAGAAATAAAACAAAATGGAGAAAGGAAATTAATATAATGAAGCATGTAAAATTTTAAATATAGAGAATGTAGGAAGGATGGAAAAAAGGAAGGAAATAAAGCAGGAAGGAAGAAGGGTAGTTAAGAAAGAAAGAAAGAAAGAAAGGATGAAAGGATGGAGGAATGGACATGAATGAAGAAAACGGAAGTAAATAAATTAAGAAAGATAGGAAAGAATGAAATTAAGCTTGTGTGGGAAGTAAGATCTCTGATCTCCTCAGATTCAGGCTTTAGGCTGCACATAATGCAGGAGGAGAGTGGGCCGAGCTTCTCTTTATGCCCACAGGGCAGAGGAACTACTTAATTGAGATCTGGAGTCTCCCGAGGTCGGCCACCAGAGCTTCTAACTCCATTTATTTATGTGCTGTTTTATTAGGAGCAGGCCACACTCAAACGCTCACTTTAATTAGGCTAGTACAATCACAGCTGCTCCAGCAGGACCAGACCAGCATTTGATTATGCAGATGAAGAAATCACAACAGCTGCAATTCAGCACTCACTTCTAGGCCAATTAGCATGTTTCTGACACCATGTAGTGACTGTGTTTATTCTGTAATGATGCAATTACAGAGTAATAATTATACTTCTTGCTCAGTAGAATAAAGTATGTGATTAAATATGATGAGTTTTTAACAATGCACAGCTTTTTAATGCTCAATGTGGCTGTTTGTATTTACACTAAAATATAAAATACTGTATTCCCTATCAGAGTCCAGCCAATGCGTTCTTCAAAGCTTCCTGCTGAAAATCAATACAACATATGAATAACTTGTAACTCTGATTTTGAGATAAAATCCAGGCTTTTTGGAAACCTTTTGAATTCTGAATACTTCTATTTGTGCCCTGAGTTAACAGCATGTAGTTTATATAAGATTATATAAAGGTAATAATTTCTTGAAAGAGTTAAAGGAATATTTTTATTAAAGGAATTACTATTTAAGAAATGGATTAACCAAAAATTATAAATTCCTGAAACCCTCAGGCCATCCAAGATGTAGATGAGTTTGTAGATATTTCTCGGAACAGATTTGGAGAAATGTAGCTTTACATCACTTGCTCAGCAATGGATCCTCTGCAGTGAATGGGTGCCGTCAGAATGAGAGTCCAAACAGTTTAGGGTCAGTAAGATGTTTAAGTGTTTTTGAAAGACATATCTTATGCTCAGCCAGGCTGCATTTATTTGATCAGAAATGCAGTAAACATTGTGAAAAATTATTCTAATTTAAAATAGCTGCTTTCTATTTGACTATATTTAAAAATGTAATTTATTCCTGTGATCAAAGCTGAATTTTCAGCATCATTACTCCAGTCTTCAGTGTCACATGATCCTTCAGAAATCATTCTAATATGTTGATTTGCTGCTCAAGAAACATTTCTGATTATTATCAATGTTGAAAACAGTTGTGGTGCTGAATATTTTTGTGGAAACCATGCTGCATTTTTTCCAGGATTCTCCGATTAATACAAAGTTCAAAAGAACAGCATTTATTTCAAATAGAAATCTTTTGTAACATTATAAATGTCTTTACTGTCACTTTCGATCAATTTAATGCATCCTTCTTTCAAAAACGGACCTTAAACTTTTGAATGATAGTGTAATTTTTACAATAAATATTAAATAACTTGCATTAAACAAATCCTTATGACTCTTTTATCCAAAGAGACTCACACTATCCCTAACCTGAGGTTAAATGTCTTTCTTAAGGGCACAATGGTTAGACATGAGCAGAGGCGGACAAAGTACTCAACTCCATTACTTGAGTGAAAGTACAGATACTGCTGGTCAAATATTACTCCATTACAAGTAAAAGTTGTAAAGACAGATTTTTACTTAAGTAAAAGTACAGAAGTACTTGCTTTTAAAAGTACTTA